ATTATTTTCAATGCCAAGAGAGCTAAAAAAGACTGTTTTAGGTTCCATATTTAAAAAAATTTCCTAGACCTCCCGGTTGGTCGACCCCCCCTATTTTGAAATCCTGGCTACGTAACTTTTTATATGACAATAGACAATTTCCTTTATTTGTGATTTATTCAAGAAATACCTACAATGGCGTCACAAAAATCCAGAATGTTTCAACATTTAGATTGTTTAACAGTCTACATTTTCTTTGTGTTGAAAGTTCATAATTGGTCAACAAATTCCATAAGGGAGTAGGCCCTACCTACACCGGTCGGTCCACAAGAGCCAGTCCCAGAGTTGCTAATTGAGTTGGTTTCCTGTTGCGTTCTTGAGGTTGTTTGGAAGAGAGTTGATGAATTTGCTGCCAATATAAGAGGGTTTTCTGCTGTATTGTGTAGTGTGGGGTTCGGAAGGCTGTAGTCGGGTGCTCTTCTGGTAACTTATTGGAGTGAAAATTCTCATTTCTGGGAAGGTCAAGTTTTTTTGTGTACAGGACAATTCCATGGATGTAGAGTGCTGTCACTGTTAAGAGCTTAAGAGATTTAAATGCTTCCCTGCAACTGTCTAAGAACTCAAGGCCAGAGAGTGCCCTGACGGCTTTTTTCTGGAGTACCATGACTTTGTTGAGGTTTGCTTCTGATGTTCCTCCCTAAGATATTAAGCCATACCTTATACCTATGTGATTCTATTACAGCATATTATGCTGTTTAAGCTGTTTCCAGACTTCCTACCCATTTCATCCTCTTTATTACGTAGACCCTAGATGCAAGTTTCTTGGTCAGGATGTCTAGATATGTGGTCGTTCCAGGATTTCATCAATTGTCAGGCCCAGCAGTTTTGAGTTTTTATTTCAACAGTTTTTTTCAGGAATTTCTTGAATTTGTTCATGTTTTCGGTTGAAATTTAACAGGGTTGTTTTTGATGGATTAATGGCCAGGTCATTTTGAAGGCAATACTGCAGTGCTTTGTCTGTTAAGGTTTTAAGATGTTGGAGTGTAATTCTTGTGGTGAGTTGTGCATAAATAGAAGAGATGTGTCAACTGCGTAAATTATTGTTTCACAATTGTCATTCCTAATGAAATCTGGAAAATCATTGATGAAAAGGATGAATAAAAATGGGCCCATGACTGAGCCCTGGGGCACTTCTCTGTTAATCGAAAGTTGTGGGACCTATGTAAAGATTTTCTTCCGTTTGCGTTTTGCTGGATTTTGACAATTTGTGTCCTACGTGTTTTCAAATAGCTTGCCACCCAGTCATTGGCCATTCCCTCTATTCCTAGGGCTGTGAGTTTCCTTAGAATGAGATTATGACACAGACAGTCAAATGCTTTGCTGTAGTCAAGTAAGACTGTTGATACATGTCTGCGTGCTTCTAGATGGTTAATGATTTGTTCTATTAGACTAGTTAGAGCTGTGGTGGTGGATCTCTCTTTGAGAAAACCATGTTGGTTTTTAGTGATGAGAGCATTGCTTTCCAAGTGACTCAGCATTCTTGAAAGTGCAACCTTTTCTATTAATTTTGAAAAGGTTGATATTAATGAGATAGGGTGGTAGTTTTGTTATTAAGTGTGAGAGCCATTTTGTACTTTGGGTATATTTTTGCTATTTTTAGGGCGGAGGGAAATTGTCCAAAGGCTAAAAGATTTATTTATTATGCTGACAAGTGGAGCTGCCAATTGTTCGGCACAGTGTTTTACAACTTTTGATGGCACTTCATCTACTCCACATGACAGCTTTGATTTCAATGAGTCTATTGTTGCTAGGACTTCTTTAATGGCTGTATGTGTTAAAGTTAGTGGTTGGATATTGCTTTGTGGTAGAAGTAGTGGATGTGTAATTTTATTTCTTTTTGAATTTTTTTTTCGATTTTTTTCTTAAGTGGAGTCTGATATTTTTGCAAAATATTGGTTTAGGTGTTCAGCAATGTCAGAAGGGTTATCTACTATTGTTCCCTCTATTTCCAGCTTTAGATTTGGTTCTTCCTTCTGTTAACATTGTTTTTCTGTGTTGATGATATCCCAGACAGCTTTGGATTTATTATCCAGCACTTCTGATGTATCCTGCAGTGGCTTGTCGCTTAAGGGACCTGAGCTTTAAATCATATGTTTTCTTTTTATCTGCCCTTGTTGTTTTATCGTTTACATTTCTGGTAAGCTCGTATCGGTGCAAGGCATCTAGAAATTCTTCTTTTAGTATTTTGATTTCTACATCATACTGAACCTTCATTTTCTGTCCTTTCTGCTTAGCTCTTATTTTTTTTGAATGTGCAGGCATGGTCCAATATTTACCTTAGGGCCTACAGTATTTTGAAAAATGCAGAGTATGCCTCTTCAGCATAAGGGGCATTGTGCACCTCATCCAGTTTTCTTTGGAGAGTTTGTCTTTCATGCTGTGCAGGTTTCTTCTTGAATAAATACTTTTTTGTGACATCTCCGTTTCAGCAGTAACTTCACTCAGTATTTTGACAGTACATGTTTGACCTACACATCAAACATTTGTTTGAGGAACATTTGTTGTATTTATCTAGTTTGTGAATGACTGGGTGGCAAGCTATTTGAAAACACGTAGGACACAAATTGTCAAAATCCAGCAAAACGCAAACGGAAGAAAATCTTTACATAGGTCCCACAACTTTCGATTAACAGAGAAGTGCCCCAGGGCTCAGTCATGGGCCCATTTTTATTCATCCTTTTCATCAATGATTTTCCAGATTTCATTAGGAATGACAATTGTGAAACAATAATTTACGCAGTTGACACATCTCTTCTATTTATGCACAACTCACCACAAGAATTACACTCCAACATCTTAAAACCTTAACAGACAAAGCACTGCAGTATTGCCTTCAAAATGACCTGGCCATTAATCCATCAAAAACAACCCTGTTAAATTTCAACCGAAAACATGAACAAATTCAAGAAATTCCTGAAAAAAACTGTTGAAATAAAAACTCAAAACTGCTGGGCCTGACAATTGATGAAATCCTGGAACGACCACATATCTAGACATCCTGACCAAGAAACTTGCATCTAGGGTCTACGTAATAAAGAGGATGAAATGGGTAGGAAGTCTGGAAACAGCTTAAACAGCATAATATGCTGTAATAGAATCACATAGGTATAAGGTATGGCTTAATATCTTAGGGAGGAACATCAGAAGCAAACCTCAACAAAGTCATGGTACTCCAGAAAAAAGCCGTCAGGGCACTCTCTGGCCTTGAGTTCTTAGACAGTTGCAGGGAAGCATTTAAATCTCTTAAGCTCTTAACAGTGACAGCACTCTACATCCATGGAATTGTCCTGTACACAAAAAAACTTGACCTTCCCAGAAATGAGAATTTTCACTCCAATAAGTTACCAGAAGAGCACCCGACTACAGCCTTCCGAACCCCACACTACACAATACAGCAGAAAACCCTCTTATATTGGCAGCAAATTCATCAACTCTCTTCCAAACAACCTCAAGAACGCAACAGGAAACCAACTCAATTAGCAACTCTGGGACTGGCTCTTGTGGACCGACCGGTGTAGGTAGGGCCTACTCCCTTATGGAATTTGTTGACCAATTATGAACTTTCAACACAAAGAAAATGTAGACTGTTAAACAATCTAAATGTTGAAACATTCTGGATTTTTGTGACGCCATTGTAGGTATTTCTTGAATAAATCACAAATAAAGGAAATTGTCTATTGTCATATAAAAAGTTACGTAGCCAGGATTTCAAAATAGGGGGGGTCGACCAACCGGGAGGTCTAGGAAATTTTTTTAAATATGGAACCTAAAACAGTCTTTTTTAGCTCTCTTGGCATTGAAAATAATCAACCCCAACGTCAATAGCCTACAGTATGATTATATAATTTTACATTTAATTTAACAAAAAAAATTATTATATTTAAGACCGGAAGGGGGGGTAAGGATCCTCTGGACCCCCCCCCCCTGGCTACATCACTGATATATTTAGAGGTGTGCGATCGTTTAGATTTTCAAGCAAAGCTTTTGTTCTCACCTTTGTCAAAAGTGTCTGCAAGTTTGTGAGGTTGAAAATCATGATTTTGACATAGGCCTACTGCGATCACAATATCTTTGCAATGCAAGGTTTGTGTGGAATGGAGTAGGATGATCTGTGTAGTTTAAGTTTACTAATAAATAAAAACACCTGGACCCAGTTTCAAACCACCAAAAAGGGAATTTTCCCAGGATCAATCCAGCGGACTATTAATTAAGTACTAGGGAGTAAAAGAGCCTTTTTATTCTCTATCTACAGAGTAAAAGTCAGCTGTTGTAGACAATTGTAAACGATCACATGTATTAAAATTTTGTAGGCCTATCTTACTTAAGTTAGCGATCAATTTAAGGTAATCGGTTGTAGGCATATTAACTTAGCTTAACTTATTGTTATATTCTTGTCAATAGTTCAACATGGAGCTGTCCGTTGAAATGTAAAATAAATAAATATCGATCTAACACTAGGCCTAACACAATTATTGTAGACTATAAATTATTGGGGTACAGTTTCTTAACTGGGCAATGCTAATATCAATTGAAACTATCGAATTGATAATAGGGATTGATTAATAATCGATATTTTTTAAATATATTTATTATCAAATTACACTATCTTAACCTAACCTAACCAACCAAACTTGCTGATGGTGAAAAAATCGCATGAAGGTTTACTAATCGAATCGATAGTTTCAATCGATATTATCATAGCCCAGTTAAGAAACTGTACCCAATTATTGAATGATTTAGGCCTACTAAACAGCTGCTTGTTTGCATTTTAGCAAAATCAAAAAAGTTGGAAACTTTGTTATGAGAGGTTAACTTCAGCCTAGACTACATGAAAAGTATTTATGTTTTATAACTTAGTTTGCTTAAACATTGGTAACAATGATAGCCTAGGCTATGTAACTTTATCTGAAAAATGTAATTCTAGGTTAGGCCTAGGCCTACACGATATCTGTCATACACACCTGATTAGTTTACTCTGTTGCTGAATGCTGTTCCTCCCCTAAACTAGGCCTACATACAAAACACTTTTTTGGGTGGAACGGGCATGAATGACTGAGCAGATTTAGTAATTGATATTTACTATAATTTAGTAGACTACTACTTATTTACGCGCCAAGTAAGTCTAAGTCAAGTCAAAGCTTAAGAGTGGGCAGTAGCAGTCGGCCATATTGGATTGATGCTCCATAAGAACAATGTAATCTTTTGAACCATATAGCGCCGTTATTTTTAAACATAGAACTACGTTTGATGTGTCATTGGAAAGAGAATACAATTCTACAGGGGGTTTGCTTTTTATTTTTTTGATTAAAGAAATATTAAAATAATTATAGCAAAAATACGCTTGTTTAAGTTTACAAATTTGTGGAGGATTTTCTAAAGGAATATTTGAAATTCGAAAAAGCAAACCCCCTACAAAATTTAATTATCTATCGAATAAAGTTTGTTTCAAGAAGATCCGACGTAAACTGTGCACGTGATATGGTTTAAGAAAATGCATGTTTTTGCTGCGCGTCGCGGCGGTATTTCGGCGTAGTAGTCTGGCAGATCTCCGTGAGATAGCAGCACGCTCGCGCATTTGGCGGGAGTTCAAATCAGGTTATTATGGTTCTACATTCATCATGCGCTGCTAATTTTATAGCTTTTTTTGATTTAATGTGGAACAAATATTGTTACGAAATTATTGTTATGATTATTGTTGTCATAGTTATAGTTATTGAAAGAGAGGAAATGAACTGGGGACAATAAGAAATGGCGTGGTGTTGAATACATTTTAAATTTGAATACACGTATAAAATATGTTATAAATTTATCAAATACTATTTCATAGTTCTATACTGATATAAGTACAAAACCAAAATGTGTACAATCAATATAAATGATATGCCAGAGCCTTCCTGTCCCACGCAATGATTGGAAACGAGATACAGTTTAGTAGAAATATAAAATCTTTAAATACAATATATACATTTAAGGCATTAAATCATATTCGTTTCATGTGATAACGGGCAAATTTCATAATTTAACTAATACTTACAGATGTATTTGAACGAATTAGTCTGCTGGTATAAAAAATTTTTCTATTTATAAAATAAAATTTTAAATGCCTAAAATTCAATTACATAATTTATAATTATAAAATCAAACTGTCATAACCTATCCAAACTATAAACTATAACGATAATGAAGAAATCGAATCAAAAGGTTTGTGCCTCCGGAGGTTTCGAGCCGGTAACCTTTAGAACGTTTCTCCGGTGCGATAACCACTACACCACCGAGACATGATGCAAGTCTGTGGGGAACGCATTCTGCTAAACCTCTAGGTCGATCACAGCATAGATAGCAACCCTACCCCCCACCTTGGCCGACGTCTCGGCCGTACACACTGTAACCACGAGACACATTGGACTCGCCCCACCCCTACACCTTGTATTTCTTATTTTCGCAAGTCACGTGATAATGTTGAAAAAACGCGCCAATTCCATCCTAGACATTATTGTGAACTGTGAGGTTATGTTCTAGGCTAGCAACCTATTTGGTCTGCTGTGTCCACAAGTCCAGTGACGTTTAGAGTTCCCTAGTAATAATTCGTAGTTCTACTTACTTACAAATGTAGAAAGTCATTTCGTGTGTTTCTTTTTATTTACGGGTGTGGTATTATAGGAAATAAAAAACGACCGTTGCGAAGAAAGGTGAAAAACAGAGGTGGTGAAAGGTTGGCTGAGTGGAGAGTATTGAGAGATTTTGGTGTTGTGGGAACTGGGAAGTAGAAAAAGAAAACTAAGTAGTGATGTTGATGAGCTGATTGCTGATGAGGCGATGAGTTACCTCTATGGCCCGGCGCATATTGAGACGCAGTCGGAGCAGCGCAGCGTAGTGCAGCGCAGGGCAGTGTTTTGTAAACCACATGTTCGCTAGGAAACGCGCATATTATGGCGCAGCGCAGGGCAGTCCCGCACGTGGACTGCGCGCACATGTGGTCGAGTAACAAGTGTCTGTGCCGCATTGCTCACCTGCGCCGGGTTTACGCTTTACTAGTGTTTTGTGACGGATCTAGAGGATAATTAATAGAAATTGTGCATTTTTATCCAGTTTTTACGTTACCAGTCATAAAGTATTATATTGTCTGTGGTCATAGTAACAAATAGTAATTGCAAGAATGAAATTTGGGAGAAAATACGAAAAACATTAAACATTGCAAATTTTTTCGCCCTTTCTTTCTTGTTCTCTTGTGAAGAAGTAACAATAAATCTAGATCAGCACCTGAATCTGACTCAGAACTCAAATCCTAATATTTCACAACATGTTCACACAATAAACTGTATCACTCCTATACGAGAACTGCACGACACTGCTTCCCAATTTGCGATGTCAACTGTGCAACACAGACTTTTTGCCCAATTCCGCCTTGTGCTGTGCTGCACTGCCAGTATCGTGCCACACAGCTCAATACAATATGCGCCTGGGCTTTGTAGACAATTCCACGCTATCATCTGATCCTACTGACTGTTTGGGCAACTGTGATATTACCGGTCGTAGAATAGTTGACATTTGTTATTTAGTTGACCAATTTGTCCAACTAAGTTAACATGCGCCTCAATTCGGCTGTTCCCTCAGAAACCTGAAATTAGTTAGTGAAATAAAAAGACGGCTTAGGAGTGGGTTTGTGTTTGATTGCAACATTTGCCACATCAAACAGACAATATGGAGTGAGCCTGAACCTCGGGAAAATGCAATGTCAATGGACATAAACAGTGCAGCAGTAGCCGGTTCTATTACCAATGGCGGAGGATTTGTCGCCTGAACGGCTGCTGTCTGCAATGAATGTTCGTGCCATGAACCGGAAAACATATGACAAACATGAAGAACTAATTTCGAAAGGTTGGGAGGAAACTTGCCATTTGGAAACCAAAAGGTCTAAAAACTGTAAAAATTGATCGGGACGATGACTTTTGGGAAGTAAACATGAAAGAAAAACTTGAAACCTTTTATATGAAATGTTTACTTCCCGAACTTGTTAACTCACCTCACAATATTCATTTAGGCTAGGCCTATTCTATAAATGTTTAAAGTTAATAAGTTAACAAAGATATACGAATTACAAAAGGTGTTTTATTGAAACAAATGAACAAACATGCAATGAAATTTAAAAGGCTTAACGTTATAATGAAAGGACTAACAATGGAGTGTGGGGGTTGAAATTAAAATGAAATAGAAGATAAGTTTTATAATAAATTTTAAGTATTATAAGAAATGTTGATAACCCAAGTAGCAGAAAAACGAGAAAAATTTGTTTTAATATCAATTTTAAACTTATATTAAAACTGTTATTAATATGAGTATAGTTGACAACCGGCAAAATTTAAAATAATTCAAAAATTGTTTTATAACTATATTGCAACAGTTTTACAACAATTTAAAAACTGTTTTGACAACAATTTTAAAATTGACTTTGCAACATGTTGAAAATTGTTTTCACATAGGACCAGCCATCCCATGGGCATATCCTAAACACGAAATAATAAAGATTTTGTGTGAAATGCATATATATCAGTTGAGCATTTTTATTAAATAGTTCATAAAAACAAATTTTGAGAAAAAACTAGAATCAAAATTATCTTCCCCAGCGGGTCTTGAACCCGGGACCTCCAAACTGTGAATTCCTTACCTTAGCACTGAACTATCTGTGGTTGTTGATAATTTATGTTTTCAATCGGTCAAAGAGGAGCGGACAGTTGCAATGGTTGCAATAAATACTTTTGATACTATGATTATGTTTAGGCCTCAAGTTGTTGAATTGATTTTCTGGGAGTTGAGGAGGATACTGGTATTTGAATGTAGATGAATTAATTAACAATGCTAATGTTATTACAATTATTAAGATTAATTCAACTTCCCCCCTTAAATTGTTCAACTACAAAAAAATTGCTCAAATAACTGAGAAAAAAAACCAAAAATATTTGCATTATTATTATATGTTAAGCAGGTGTTCCATCACTGTATCTAGTATCACAACTATCACAATTAACGTCATCGGTAACTTATCACAAAAATCTGAAACTTATGCATTAAACAGATTGCAAATAACTTCATTCTGTGATGTTCTACAAGCCTAGTGTAAGTGTTTCACAAATTGTATGTTTGTCAAGTGTTGTTTTGGTTAGGCCTATGCCATCCACCATGATTGTAAAGTTGAACAGTATTTACGTTGGTATTTAGAAAACTTGATCTTCAACTAATGTTTCCAACATGTGTTGGATCCGATTTACCATTCATTAATGTAATTACTTAACTTGTTTCATTTTTTAGTAATCTCAGAATTGATAATGTTACACCATGTACATATAACAGATCAACTTAATTAAATATTATTCACCCTGTTTTTGCTTATTTTTCATGAGCATTGTTCCACTATTTTTCTTTCGTACAACACTTTTTTACTCTTCGCATTTTGCGCTAAACTTTCTCGTTTAGGAGCTGCATGATACAAAAAGTAGACCGGAAGTCATTTTTTCCTGCTTCAAGCTGTATCTCCTAAACTAGTGGGTTTATGGAATAAATATCACGAATAAAAAAGTTTTTTAAATTGCATGTTCTATCCGAAAACATGATAAACTATAGGGTTTTAATAAGAATTTTCAATTATTGCTTTAGAAAATTTTGTATGATCCTTGTTCCACTTCAAAACTTTTGTTTGTAAACTGATTATATTCCCATAGCATTCTCTATGATATAAAATTGTAACAGGCTAAATAACCATCCTAGATAAATCCACTAACAACGAAGAGCAGTGAGCAAAATCGAGTGTTCTAAGTAAATAAGCGATGGAAGTGACTTTAGTGCACTCCGACACTCCGAGCAGGAGCAGGGTGGAATCGCCGTCCACTCCACTGACACAGTTCGTTCATCGCCAGTGCTAATGCGGCGTTGCCATACATTGGTTAGCGCCTGGCGAGGGTTCGGCAACACCGCGCCCGCGCCGTGAGTCACTTATCGATCGATACATGCCTGTGACGTCGAGACTGCCACGCACGTAGTTCAACAAATGTCCGCTCCACTCCACGCGCGCTAGTGTGCCAATTTCGGCCATTTCGGGATTTTGTTTTACTGGGACCCACTCTTAAGCTTGCTGCTCGTCTCG